TCGAACAGCACCTCCCTCCCCTCCTCTCCCCTCCCCTCCCCACCCCGTCTGCCTCTCTCATAATCAGCTGCATCCTGCTGCCTCTTGGAGGAAGGAATGTGACACAAAATGTAACACACCGCACAAGCTGTAAGGCTCATTTCAGATACTGTACAAGGTTTCATTTATTCACCTCCGTGTATGCATCAATTAATCATGCTTTCATTTTGAAGCATAACCAATGTTATCAGATTCTGTAGCATAATATAAAATTGAGTTTCAAGTTAATAGCATACTATATATCCCAAACATAAGATATATAAACTAAATAATAATGTGCTCCCATTTTAAAAAAAAGACAGAAAACCCCTAATTATGTGCCATCTCCTCCTCTGCTTGTGGCAATCAACAGCAAAAAAATCTTAAGATAAAGCATTGATGAATGGAGCAGAATTGCTTGTGTGCTTAATGCAAATTGGTTGTATGTTGACATTTTGAGACTGTTTAGAGAAACAGCCCACTTCAGATGAGCATTAATCTGATTAAGAGCACAATTTATTTGGGTTTCCGTGCTCAATAGAAACCCTTCCTATTCAGCGCGCGGCCTGCCAACGAAGCAGAAGAACCCAACCTCGATGAATGGCCAACAGCTGTGTATATAGAACAAGTACATTTCCTCTCGCGGTGAAAAAAAACACCCTGTTTCAGTAAAACATTGAGTCATCGCTCACACACTATATACATATGTGCTAGTACAGTGTTCAAAATTTGCATGTATTCGGTAATAGCATAAACAGGTTGTGTACCGAGAAGGGGGTTCATCTTTTCTCTAAAATTGTCGCATCTAAATGTATTTTTAAAATCTTACTGAATATAGAATAGGTTTGAGTTAAATTATAGCCATCTGGGTGGTGGGTACTGTACTGTATAATTTTTAGTTAAGTTCTTACCAACATACCTAATTAAGTTCCTAAGTGGGCAATGCCATTTCAATTTGATTCAAAATGAGATGGTTTTAGGAGATGAACTTCTGGAGCCAAAGAGCTGCTTGGCTTGTGTGGAAATTTGTGACGCTGATCTTAGTTCAGGCATGGAACATGTCGTAAATTTTATCCATACAATTTCCATGTGTAAATCTTTTTTTTTTTACTAGCTGCATCTGTTTCTAACCATGTTTGCCACATGGACCATTGTACCTTTTTTTTATATATAATATTTCAATATACAGCATAAATTTGAGCAACTTATTAAATTTATATGGCATTAAAACGGGCTGGTTGTCCGAAGCTAAGGATGAATATTGTCCCAAAAATAAAAAAAAACTCTGAATTTTATCGCCACGGATTTCAGGTCGAGAAACGTAAAGCCATAATATTGGCAGTAAAGATGTCTCCTCCAAACTTGACGGCTCCCAAACCTCAGTTCATAAACCTGTCTAGAGATTATGTGCATGGCTGAGACACACAGTCTAACTACTTGGCCAGCTCAGCAGTGGAAACAGTTTCTGCATGAGTATATTCTCACTGTTGATGGTGCATTTGAGAGAGCCAATGCACAAGTCTAGGTATGGTTTATACATTTCTATGAAACAACAATCACATTCAGATAATTCAGCCGTCCCTTATTTGGTTTTGCCTTGGCACATGTTTGCTTTCCCATGGCATGCCCTGAGAATTTATTCAATATGCAAAGTAAATGCATGATTATATTCAAAGGATAATAAACAGTTTGTGTTTGTACTCCCTTTAAACTTAAAACCCCAACTCTGCATCCAAGATTCCAAAAAGGCTGCGTCAGTGTAACCATAGTGGTGCAATTTGGATAAACGGTGAAGATGAAAGCCGAATTACGTTTTTACATGCCTTCTAGACTGCTTGCACATTTTTCTAAAAGCACCGATGTCTGGGTGTGTAATTACACACTAAATGCTGTTTTTTTTTAAAGGAAGTATGTGTCGCTGCACAAACATTAAACCCGACTGAAAATGGGTACACTGCACAAGGCGCGCCCCAGAGTACCTACTCAGACGCCACTGATGACAACAGTGCTATTAGACTAATCAATGATCTTTATCAGCAGGCCCTTGTCACAAATGCAATATGTCTGTGAGTCGGGATTTTTCCATTTCATATTATTTCATTCTAATCATTTTGAGAGGCCTGAAGGGCTACAATCAGTGGTGGAAAGTGACTAAATACATTTACTCAAGTGCTGTACTTAAGTACACTTTTGAGGTACTAAAAGCATTTCCATTTTATTCTTTTTATACTTCTACCACACTACATCTTGGAGAGAAATTCACATTAATTTCATAACTATAGTTACTTTGCAGATTCAAAGTTTTTATTCAAAACTTCATAATCATTTTTAAAAAAATGATTCATTCCCTAAAGGTTGAAGCACCCAATAGTATATAAAGTAATTAAGTAAATTGCTGCTACAACATTAAATGCTGCATACACATGAATGCACCAATAATAATGATCCAATAATAAAATGAATAACAGTATGGCACTCACACGGGCCATTTTTCTGCATTATGAGTACTATTACATGTTCAACTTTAAGGGCATTTTGCAATAATACATTTACTTCAGTGACATTTTAATTGCCGGACTTTTACTTGATAAAGAGTACTTAAGGATCTGAATACTTCCTCCACTCCAATACTTTCATTTATAATAATATCACACTTGATAGGATAGTTGCCATTCTGCATAATGCTTACTTTGATGCAATTTATTAGTGAGATTTAGCTGGACTTTTACTTGTAACAGAATATTTTTACACTGTGATATTACAGCTTTTGCTTAATTAAAGGATCTGAGTACTTCTTCCACCACTGGGTGACAGACAAATCTGCTGAAAATAGTTTTTTTGTTTTGTTTTGAATTCTCTCCTTCCACATTAATCATGTCTTACCCTTCAGATTTATCTTGTGACCTCTTCAGGGGGTCCAGGCAAACCGGGTGGGAACCTCTTTATAGTTACTATGCTGTGAGGTGGTTCCTTTCATAACTGTGTAAATACATAAATAAATAATTAAAGTGTGCCAACACTTTATTTGACAATTCTAGACACGTTCAGCATTCAATTTGTCGTGAAAAGAAACTTACTTTTTTTGGGCATCATTATTTTTCCAGTATTTGTCTATGATGGAAAGGAGTGTGAAGCCATTTGACCTCTGTGAGGGAATGCTGGGTGTCATCACAGTTGGTTTGAGGGGGCTGACCATCTCTCCAGTGTCAGGGAGACAGAGAAAAGGCACGGGGTGTGATTTGTTAAATGCGGGACACCCCCTTGTATTGTTTCGACAACATGGGGGGACATCTGGCACTGGCAATACGGCCCAGTGTTGAGGTCTCCATCCTCTTTCTCGAGCAGTGAGCTGTGCAGCATTGAAGCACTGCCTGCACATTCTCATGCTAATACCCAGAAAGCAGGAGCAGATGTGAAACATTTGGTTCTGTTCTTGTTCACTTGTAAAGAAATAATGTGCCCCGTTATCATTATTTCACTTTTTTGTTCTTCTGTGTGTCATAAAAAAGAGTTCATGGTAGAGGCCATCTCCTTTGGTGGCCTGACTTCAGCTGCATGTGGCCGCTGTCAGTGACGGAGAAATGGCCTCACGAGTGTTTTCGAAGATGGAAGAGAATCATTTTGGCATTTCAAAACATGTTGCTACAGTGGAAAAACTGGGGACTATGCACTAAACAAACATTCCCCCTGCAAGCAGACAGCTGTCTGTTTGTCCACAGAGGTGTGTGTGAGTGTGTGTGTGTGTGCATGTTTTGTTTTTAGCATGTCTTATGAGTTTTATGTATTTGTGTGTTGTGGTGAATTTCAGTGTATGCTGTGTTTACTGGTCTCAACTGAAAAAAAGAGAGGTTGACCTCAAGGAGAATAACATTTACGTAAAGGATTAAATAAAAAAAATAATTGTATTGAAATTGAATGAAAGTGTTTGTGACATGTCTCTAATTGTACTTCTTGTTCTACTTCAGAAATAATTACAAATGTATTTTGCAGTGGTGGAAAAAGTAGTCAGATCCTTTACTTAAGTAAAAGTACCAACACCACAGTGTAAAAATACTTCACTACAAGTAAAAGTCCAGAGAAATCCTATTTAACATAAATTAAAGTGGTATCGTCAGCTAAATGCAATGAAAGTACCAAAAGTAAAAGTATTCGACAGAAAATGTAGGTATGTCTGATATGTTATTAATGTTAGTAGAACTGCAACTAACAATTATTTCATCAGTGCAAATTTAGCATTTTACTGTTGTAGTTGGTCAAGTTTAGTAGGCAGTTTAGTTCAGTGGTTCCCATCCTAGGGGTCAGGCCCTTCCAAAGGGTCACAAAATAAATCTGAGGGGTCGAGAGATGATTAATAGGAGAGGAAAGAAGACAGAGAAAGAGAAAAGAGAAAACGATATACTGTAACAGACATTTTTCTTGTGTTGGTATTTTTTATAACAACATAAATAAATAGCCTAAGTAAAATATCAACATGACCAGGTGCCCTAAGTAGACACTGCTTTTTGAAAGGGGTCCCACACTGGAAATGTTAGGCTCCACCGGTTTAATCTTAAATAATGTAAATCATTTATATGTTTTTGTTTGCTTGTTTGTTTTTTAATGTAACATTTTAATTTGAAATGTAATAAGTAAGTATATCCGTCAAATAAATGTAGTTAGAGTAAAAAGTACAATATTTCTCTCTCTGAAATGTAGTGGAGTAGATTAAATATTACTATTCAATTAAAGTAATGCCACAGAAATGTACTTAGTTACTTTCCGCCGCTGTTATTTTGTACATGGAAACTAGCTCCAATTTGGCAAAGATGTTCAGCGTATCATTGTCCCCTCCCACCTGGAATATCATTGGCTCCTGGCTGCTCCTCTCTTCATCTCATTGGCCAGGGGGGTGCCTGTCAGGCAACCTGACGTGCGAGACAAGTTTACAACTCTATACACGTGCAGCTGGTACGTCAGGGCTCGCGGTGGCATCCTACACAGAGCGAGGACAGAAGGGACTTCATTACCCGACAGCACAAACTGTTGTACACTGTCTAAAAGCACCTGTCGGCTGTGGTTCTGCCTGCTTTCGGTCAGTTTCCCACCTGTGTGCCGCAGGTATCATTCGGCACTTTTCCTCTGGAGGAGACAGAGGTGTTATCCACAGCACACTGTGGATGAAGACTCACTCCTCGGTTTCTTAATGGCAAGAAGACTCAATAATGTGTGCCTAGCATGGCTGTACCGACCACCACGGGACCGGTATGGCTTTTAGCCGCATCAGTAAACTGGACCCCCCGTCCCGAGGCATCCTCAGGAAAGCGGCGGTCATGCTGTGCTCCCTCCTCACCTCTCTCTTCCTCCTGCACTGCCTCACCGACCGCTGCAGCACCACCTCACCCTCACCGGTCAAAGCGTCCTCCGACCGGGCTGCGGGGCTTTTCGAGGACTTGAGGTCGCAGAGGACTAAAAGACTGGTGTACGAATGGACCGCCGGGTCGGAGCTGATGGGCTACGGGGCCGCCGGACGCTCCTCCTCGCGGGTCCTCGCGGATGAGCGCGCGGGACAGGTCTCGGAGCTGCCCGAGGAGTCTCTCATCTTGCCGCCTCCGGATTTAGTTGCTTCCAGGAAAGTGTCGCCGAGGTTCGCAGGTAAACTCAGTCCGCTCGGGGAGGGGAGCAAGAAGCTGCCCCAGGCTCTCATCATCGGGGTGAAGAAAGGAGGGACCCGGGCTCTGCTGGAGTTTCTCCGGGTTCATCCAGACATCAGAGCCGTGGGAGCGGAGCCGCACTTCTTCGACCGCAACTATGACAACGGGCTGGAGTGGTACAGGTGAATGTTTTTATAATGAATGATGTATGGAAGGAAAAACATTCCCAAACTGATAATGAAACACTTTTTTTAGACCGAGCTAAATTTTAAATCAGCATTCATACGATCAAACTGAGGTAAGATCTATAATATTAGAACACATAATTAATGTCCCCTGTTAAAATCTAGGCTGAGCTTCTGTATATTATTATTAGTCATTCAATTGCCTTGATGATAGATTGTGTTTATCCAACTTTTTATTTAGCCTGCTGCTACATCACTGATAAAGATTAGTCTACATCCATAAATCTTTATTTAACATCTCAACTGTTATAGAAGTAGCTTAATTGCTGCTGGATGAAGAAGCATTGTGGACAGCCTGTTGATTTATTACGCTACATTAGTCCTGCTTTCATTAGATCTTATCAGGCTGCTCATTTTGTTGCACATTTTAGGGTTGACTGCCTTTAAGTTGCTTGAGTTAGGGCCATAGTGGGATCAGGGGTTGCAGCTTGATTAGGCTGGGAAATAAGACAGGGATAAATCCTCAGCATTTGAAATTTGTAACAATTTACATTTTCTTTGTTGGAGCATTCATTTTACTTATAAAACTATCTTCTTGTTTTTTAGGAAAGTTTTTTAAAACTTTTTTTTTTTTAAATGTGTTAATTTCACCTTTAATAGCCTACACTCACTTGCTACATAACTTAAAGTTTTTATAACCTTTTTGTTCCATTGAACTTAAAGACATTTATCACACTCGCTGTCACTAATTCATATTTTAATTATTAACATTAGTTAGTTAGCATTAGTTTTTTGGCCTGCTGCAAATCTGCAAAACACTTTTTTCTTGCAAGCTACAGAAAGTTTTAATGGAGCTTCTGATCTAGATAGTAAAACAGGTCGTCTTTTCTTAATTATCCAGACTTGTGTCGACTTTAAAGACTTAAAAAAAAAAAAAAACGTGAGTAATAAAAGTTGAAAAACAATATTTTATGGCATATAAATTCCAACAGTCTAGATTGTCGACAGTGTTTAATGGTATCCAGAGTAAACTGAACTGGAATCAGTGTGTGTGTATTTTTGTAAACTTCGATGGTGTAAAACTAGTTAACAGTCTTCTCAATCTTTTATTCCAAATCTTAATTTGCTTTTATAGAGTCAGTTTTCAGTCTTGCCTGACAAAAGTGAAACTTTAGACTCTGATCCCACATAAACTCTCATTTACCCTCCTTCAGTGTCTCCATCTCCTTATGGAGGAATATGCTGCGTTTCCCTCGCTCAAGTCGAAGTTGTGATTGATTTCATCTGTCACTGCGGGTGTGTGTGAGTGAGTGTTGTGTGTTCACATTTCCACAGGCCTGTGGGGAATAATGGCTCTCGCTCTCAGTGGCTCTCTGTCTAATGGGGCATTGCCGACATTGCAGCTCTGTTATTAAGAAGGATTAGGGCCATAATGAAAGGTTACCTGAGTGTCTCAGGAGGTATAATTCACCTTTTGATTGAGTTAACACTACACACAGCACCCTCTAAAAGCCTGGAGACCAAACTTTTACTCTCCCTCACCAACAACTCCCTCCAGACCCTTCTTTGCTCACCCCCTCTCCTCCCCCAAACACTCTGGCTCTCTCCCATCTCCCACTCACACACCTCCCTCTTTGTGCCTCTCTGAGAGTGAACATTCTCTTTTCGCCATCACTCTTTCACACCCTTCTGTTTACCTATTCATCCATTGTGGGGTTTTATATCCATGAGGGTCCCATCTATCCCGAGGAGTTGCCAAGATTCTCTGGAATTTGGACCGTGCCTCCGAGGACAGACCTCAGTGCCGGTTCCCCTTAATGTTGTCCATTTAAAACAGAAGGACCCTTGAATTGAAAAGAGGAATAAATAACTGTTACAACAGCGTGGCCCACTCTGCAGGAGTTCATCTTGTCAGCTCTCCACGACAACGTCTGAGAGTCTTCCCGTTGATAGTTTTTGTGTTTTGTGGAAGCTTTTGATTGACTCTCATTCATTTGGAGTTGTTGGCTTGAGGTCACATAGAGGTGTTCACTTCAAAAGCGCTCGTCGACAACCAGGAAATCAGTCTGATAGCAATGCTAAAGCTAACCGGCCCCTCATCTCCGGCATCTCGCTGCCTCGGAGCCACAGTTACTGTACTGATTTAAGATTTCACTGCAAGAATGTTTGAAACGTATCGAACACGAGGCGGTTTGAAAGCTAATGTGTGAAGAAACACACTCGGAAATACGAAGAAGCAGCTCCACACATGTCCAGTGCATGTTAAATAGTCCGTAATATCGTCGGTTAAAATAAAAAAAGAAGTGGTGTTTGTGCAAAACAAGACCAGATTTTCTGTGACTAATCACCGCGGCCAATTTGCTTGAATTATGTGATTCCTTTCATTAGCAACAGTGACGCTTCCGTCTCAGGGGACTCTTTGTTTATTGTCAAGGCCGATATGTGTCCTCAGCATGAATCACTCGTCTCTGTCCCTATGGGAATGTGTGGAACATACTTTTAACACCTCTAAGCTCTCCGTGTGACGTGGCAACGTCTCCAGCCGCCTTTTCCAGCTTTCTCAGTTATACTCGTCTGGCTTGTTACGGGAATTTCCATCAACTGCCTTAAAAAGTCAGTCAGTCACACACCCAAAGCCTACGAGGCAAAAAAAAATCTGTAATTTATTGAAACGGATAAAAGTGGCTGTTTTGAAAGCATGGCAGTCACAGCATGAAACATTGGTAGCTTTAAACTTTTAACTTCACTTTTATGTGTCCAAAGCCTCCACATAGTTGGGTAAAATTCTGTCTCACCATCTGCATTTATTCAAATCTTGGTAACGGCTTTATATATTTATTTTTGGGGTGTTGTACTTTCCACAAAAAAATTTAAATTTAGCTTTCTGAATAAAATGTCATTCTCGAGTTTTCGTCCACGTTTTTTTTGGTCCGGAGACTTAAAGTAAATTCCGGCCTTTTGTTGAACAGGAAACCAACACCCGGCCCAATCGCCCAGTCAGTCAGTGTTACATTTCACTACACAGTTCTCAGCGGTGTATCCGTATAATCACATACAACCTGTTAGGCTTTTGTTGTGGAAATGGACACTCAGAGAGAACAAGGAGGTCAAGCACAAACACTGTGAACTAAAGCAGAGGTCCATGCTACAGAGTAGTCACTATTATGTTTTTGGCCTGCTTGGGTTACTGAACGCCCAGCTTTCACCTGTCTAGACCTAGCCACAGTTCCTGTTTGATGTCTGCAGACCGGTTGGATTAGCCTTCACCAGATCCCTTAATGGGTTAATTAGCCTTCATAAAAACATGTGTGACCCGTTAAACACAGGGGCAATGTGCCGCCAACTCCGCCACACGTATATTTAGCTAGATACAAACAAACACAACCATATTTAGTGCAGGAAAACACACATGCTTCTTTTTGTATGCAAGTATACACGCAGACACACATACAAGCAGGAGTTTCATGTGTCTTACAGTCGTCTACATTTTACACAAATAAAGATCCAGCAAATAAAAAGGTGTATGGCAGCTTACAGTACGTACCAGCATATCTTTGGTGTAAGGCTGATCAGAGTTAGTGCATCCACTTCAGCTTCTCCATAAGTGTTTTCCTTCTTGTATGCAATACTTAAAAGCACGAGAAAGCAAATGAAAAGAGTATGCTCAGCTAGCTGAAAAATCACATTAAATTAGGGGTTTCCCTCTTCATAAAACTGGCCTTATTTGAAAGGACGTTCTGTAATGGTAATAAAAAAACAGGTCTTAATCATAAAAGCAGTGACCCAGTGGGGATTTGTGTTAGAAAGCAGCAGTGCTGATCTGCTCTGTATTTCGGTGCTGTACAGTGGTCTGTGTGGCCAGACGGCTTCATATGTGAATATACACAGAGCTAGATTTTTTTTCTGTTATTCAAATACAAATCAAGATCCAGATGTAAATGTGTGGACTGATAACATGTGCCCTTTTTGTGTTTAATTCCACGAATGTCTGTTTTTTTTCTCCATTAGTGATCAGCATTTTTTTTTCTAGATTAGGCTAATGTAGAAAAACGATTTGACAGAGTGTTATAAAGAAAAGACAGAAAAGAAAAACCGAAATAAAGTCCCATTTGTCAAGCGCTGACGCTGAAAAGCTGTTGAACTCCCAGCGTTTGAAATGAGGCAGACGTCCAAGTCTCTCATATGTTGGCTGTGTTTAGAGTGGGTGTCAATTAATTGGGTGGCAGAGTTTAAACTCTGGCCTTGTTTGCTGCTGCTTGACATTTCGCTTCATTCTCAGCGTAGAGAGGTTTGGTTTGGAGGACCAGTGGAAAGCATGACACAACTCCAAATGGGAGAGGCTGGATGTTAATAGTGAAGAAAGTCTTCTTCAGTCGTGTGTCTTTTAGGAAAGTAAAGTAAATGTGTTGTAGCAGTCCCTCTAACGTAGGGAGTCCTATATACCTACATTTCTAGAATTTAACACGTGCAACTTTGTCTTGATCAAACCACACACCGGCTGGAATAAGAGGCCGTATTTAACAAAGACCGTGCCGTGTATGTGTGTCTACTATGTGTCCATATATATATATTATGTGAGCATGCAGACTGTAAGCACCTCAAGTGTACTCTTGGCGCTCGCTGTTGCCCTTGGATGTAACCAGGCCAGGAATAAAGGAATGACATGTTCCTCAGGGTTTTAAATACAGCGATAGAGTTGAAAATAGTTTGGTCTTCATCACCCACTCCCGTTGCAGCACGCTGTATACCCCATCTATAATATCTCACTTCGCCTATCTGGATTTATGTAACCATAATAGCCAAAAAATATGAGGAACATAATTTTTTGTTATGTGTCTGCGTGCGCAAACCCTTAAAATCTATCTCCGTGGTCTCCTTAGTGAAAGGAGCAATTTGTTTTAGCATTTCTCCAAGGCACAGTCGAGATTTTTAAAACAGATTTAGCCCATTTCCTCTAATTGATGCCCTGATTGATTTACACTACGTTGGAAAAATAC